TGTTCAGAGGATGCATGCAAAGCCGGTCGCCATGCACCCCCAATTCAGGACCGTCGAGGGTCTTGGCTTTGGCGACTACCGCAACCGACCCGACGCTTGGCAGAAGATATGGACCTACCGGCGGGTACTCGGTGACGGCTCATCGGCTGCGCCAGGGCAGCTCTCGCTGCAAAACTGGGGCTACAGCCTGCGGCACAACGAAGGCGGCAACGACTTCCCCTTTGGGTATCTGTTCCTTTCGAAAGAAGAGACAGCGGCTCAGCGCGATGACTGGTGCGGCGGCGTGGCTATCAACGTTCTCGCCGCCGCCGAGCGAAGAGCGTTTGCATGGCACGATTGGTTCCGCCGTGCCGCTCCCGAACCGTTGGACCCCGACCAGTTTACGCTTGACGGCGCCTGCCTAGGCACGCGGCATGGTCTTGCGAAGCTGCCCTACGTCCGCGATACCCGTCGATCGATCGGGGCAGGGGGGTTCGTGCTCAAGCTCAGCGACCTGGTCGGCCAGATTGACGAACACGATCTCGTAAGCCGAACCGGAACCGTCTTTCCTGATCGGGTAGCCCTGGGTGCTTACCCGGCCGACATCCATCCGCTGGTCGGATACGAGTACCCGCCGCACGTGCTTGAGAACCACCCTACGCTGCCGTTCTACTTGCCGCTGCGTTCCCTTACCAACGATGGCTTCGACAACTTATTGGTCGCCGGCAAGACCATGGCGCAGACTTTCCTAGCCAATAGCGCAACCCGATTGCACCCGATCGAGTGGTCAAGCGGCACGGCCTGCGGCGTCGTGGCGGCCCATATCGCCCAAAACAACCTGACGACAATCGAAGTTTTGGACGACTACGAGAGACTACGAATGAAGATATCCCGACGTACACCGGTCGATTGGACGCTGCCGAATCGCTAGCGCCGCCGTGGCACGTTGCCGAGCGTCTAAGCCAAAGCCAGCATCCCGCCGACGTCAACGATCAAGCCGATGTGCCCGTCGGGTAGCACCGCGCCGCCGGCGACACCGGGCACTTCGCCGACGATCTCGCCGAGCGACTTGATGACGACCTGCTGCTGGCCGATCACCTCGTCGACCAACACCCCCGCGAGGTTGTCGCCTTCCTCGACGACAATGATGATTCCTTGCTTATCCGTTGCCGTCTCGTCGAAATCGGTGTCGAAGGACCGGTGCACCCCGAACAAATCGTGCGACGAGTGCAGGGTCAACGTCCGCCCACGCACCAGCATCACTTGGCCGCCCGTGGGCGTGGTCTGGATGTTCACCGCCGACGGATGGAGTTGCTCGCGGATGGCGAGCGTCGGGAAGATATAACGCTGGCCGGCGATCTTGGCGATGATGCCGTCGATGATCGCCAGCGTCAGCGGCAGCGTGAGCGTGATCTTGGTCCCTTCGCCCTTCTTGGTCTGGATTGACACACTGCCGCGGAGGGCTTCGACGTTGCGGATGACAACGTCCATCCCCACACCCCGGCCCGAGACGTCCGTCAGCTGCGCCGCCGTTGAGAACCCGGGGTGGAAGATCAGGCGGTTGATCTGATCCGGCGTCAGCGACGCGTCCGGCGCCACGAGTCCTTGCTCAACGGCCTTCTTGAGAATCCGCTCGTGGTCGAGGCCGCGGCCGTCGTCGCAAACCTCGATGTGGATGCACCCGCCACGGTGGAACGCGCGGAGCGTCACTGTCGCCGCCTCTTCCTTACCGGCCGCGACGCGGTCGGCGCCCGAAGCCTCGACGCCGTGATCGACGGCGTTGCGGACGATGTGCAACAGCGGGTCGGCGACTTGATCCAAGACGCTCTTGTCGAGTTCGGTCTCTCCCCCTTCGGTGACGAAGCGGACCGGCTTGTCGAGCTTCTTAGAGAGGTCGCGTACCAAGCGGGCCATCTTCTGGAACAGACCCTGGATGGGCATCATCCGCAGCGAGAGACTCAACTCCTGCAGTTCGCGGGTGATCTTGTTGAGCTGCATGGTGTTCTCGTTCGAGTGGCCGTTCTTAACGGCGCCCGCCGCCACCATCGACTCGGCGATCACCAGCTCGCCGATCAGGTTGATGAGACTATCGAGCCGGTCGCGATCGACACGCACCGTCTCGCCAGCAGCGGCGGCTGTCGCGGTGCGGCCGGCCGGCTCCGCGCCGACGGCGTTCGTCTCGACCACTCGCTCGGCGATCTGCTTGCCGGAACGGATCGACTCGACTGCCGCGCGGAGGTCGTTCTGCAACGAAGCCGCTTCGGGGCTCATCTGCAGGTTGCCGTCCTCGGGCGTCAGTTCCGCCGCGGCGTCGACTTGCGACTTCAACACGTCGATCGAACGGAGCGACAGGTCCATCGCCTCGCCTTGCAGCGTCGCCTTCCCTTGCCGGGCCAAGTCGAGCAGCGTCTCGGCTTCGTGGGCGACACGGCCGATCGCGACCAACCCACAGAAGCCAGCGCCACCCTTGAGCGTGTGGAACGCGCGGAAGACGGCGTCGAGGTCGTCCTTCGCCGAAGGGTTCTCTTCGAGCTTCAGCAGGCAGGGTTCGGCGGCCTCGAGGTGCTCGCGCGACTCTTGCACGAAGGCCGAGAGCAGCGAGTAATCGACTTCGGGCAGCTCCTCTTCGGCAGGCTCGCGGGTCGAGTCTCCGTCGAACGTCCCTTCTGCCTCGGCGAGGAGTTGCTCGAGACGAGCGAGGGCTGTTTCGAGATACTCGGCAAGCGAATCGCCGCTTTCTTCTGTTGATCCCCGTTCGGTAACGGTCGCCGCCGCTTCGGCAACGAGGTTCGCCGCTTCGTCACAAGAGTCGATGTCGCCGGCGAGCGTTCCTAGCTCCGACGCCATGAACGCGGCGGTCGAGCCTTGGCCCGAACGAACAAGATTGAGCAAGCCTCTGAGGCGGCTGTTGGCTTCTTCGGCGGCGGTCAGCATGGCGTAGTGATTCCGTGTTAGGCGGCAGCTATTGGCCGGTTAGTTGAGTTACTAGCGTCCGCTGAAGTCGTCTTCACAGCGCGGACGGAAGCTCATGGATGGGACGATTAGGCCCTCATACGACATGGCGAGAGAATCTTAGGTGGCGGGGCCGTGCGCGCTCGGTTGCGTGCAAGAAAATGCAGTTACGGAAATCACGTTGCGATCTGTCGGCACAACCGGTCTGTGCATCCAAGTAAGGAAACGCGTCATCGCCCTGATGCGACTCGAGTCATCGGCATTCTCTGCAGCCAACTCCGTAGTACGACAAGCTTGGGTTTGCCTGGCAATCCCACGACTACCTCGATGCACGGTCTACTATCACCGTTCGTGATGCGAACATCCTCGACCGGCGTTGGCCACGTAACGATCAGTCGTCTTGAAACCGACACTACGGGACGCTGCTACGTGTGGCGCTAAGACACCGAAAATGGCGACAGGCGAATGACCTTTTCGTTCGCATCTTGCATCACGATGCGCGAATGAACTGACCGCCATTTGCTCAGTTTGGCTTTGCGGGAATCACGGCGGGATGCCGCACGATCCACGACTTAACTTTCTCCGGCTTCACTCTTCAACGTGAAGCAAGGCGTCGCAAACAAAGGGCGCTCTAGCGCCCACGTGGTCCCGGCTGTGTAAGCAGGGCACGTACGCCTGCTGACACAGGGGCGACCTCGTCCGCTACAGCCAGTTTGGGGAATCCAACAGCAGAGGACTTATGGAAACCGCGACTAAACAACGTTCGGCGGAAACGCTGCCCCCGGTGGGCGGCGACAACCGCCAGTACCTGACCTTCCGGCTCGACCGCGAAGAGTACGGGATTGAAATCCTGCGAGTGCAGGAGATCAAGGGCTACGACCACCTGACGCCCGTACCGAGCACGCCGCACTACATGAAGGGCGTGATGAACCTCCGCGGGACCGTGGTCCCGATCATCGAGCTGCGGGCGCGCTTCGGCATGCCCGAGCGAGAGGTCGATCAGTTCACCGTAATCATCGTGGTGAATGTCGGCTCGCGCGTCGTCGGCTTGCTTGTCGACACCGTCTCCGACGTGCTCGACATCCCTGCCGATGCGATCTGCGACACGCCCGACCTCGCGTCCGGCATTGAAGAGCAATACCTCACCGGCATGGGCAAAGTCAACGACAAGCTCGTGATGCTGCTCGACCTGTCGAAGCTGATCGGCGCTGAAGTGGCGTCGATCGAAGAAATCGCCGCGTAACGGCGTCAACCGCGTTAATACCAGGGTTTCGCAAGAGCGGCCCAAGACCAACCCTTCAAAGCTAATTCTAACGAGGAAACAAGAAAGATGATTTCGAAACTGTCCGTCAAAGCAAAGCTGCTGCTCGCGTTCACGATCGTCGCTGCCGCCGGGGGTGTGCAGGGCTGGTTTGCCATGAATCAAATGGGCGCTCTCCAAACTTCACTGGGCGCTCTCTACAACACAGAGTTAATGGGTATATCCCATATAAAGGAAGCTAACACCAACTTGGCCAGATTGGGTCGTGAGGCTCGCGAATCGATTATTGAAGAGGACCCTGTTAAGTTGGCGGAGATATCCAAGCGATTCGATGTAGCGACTAAAACGCTCCAAGAAAAGTTTGCTGCCGCTAGGCCTCTTTTTTATACGGAACAGGGCGTTCAGTCCATGGCTACGGCCGCGCCTCTAGTACCCCAGGTTGTGTCGTCAACCCGTGGAGTCATGGAACTCGGAGCTCAGAACAAGACGAAAGAAGCGATTGAGGGATTTGTCGAGATTACTGAACTATCCAATCAGTTAGACGAAATCTTTACGTCACTCGCCGGCACCAAGGAGTCGGCTGCGGAGCAGTCCTTTAAGGACAGCCAATCCCTCTATCAGCGTGCTTCGATGCTGGTGATCGGCGTGATCATCGCCACGGTCGCCGCCGCTCTGGCTCTTGGTTGGTACATCGCTCGCTGGATCGCGACCGCTCTGCTGGAAGTCGATCAGATCGCTCAGATCGTGCTCGTCGCTTCGCAACAGCTCTCCGGCGCCGCCGAGGACCTGTCCGCCGGCGCCCAGGAGTCGGCTTCGAGCCTCGAAGAGACCGCTTCGAGTCTTGAAGAGATCACCGCGACGGTGCGTCAGAACGCCGACAACGCCGACGAGGCCAACCAGGTCTCCAACGCCAGCCGCCAGACCGCCGAGAAGGGTGGCCAGGTCGTTGGCGAGTGCGTCAATGCGATGAGCGAGATCAACCACGCCTCAAAGAAGATCGCCGCGATCATCACCACGATCGACGAGATCGCCTTCCAGACGAACCTGTTGGCCCTCAACGCAGCGGTCGAAGCTGCCCGTGCCGGCGAGCAAGGCCGTGGCTTCGCGGTCGTCGCCGGTGAAGTCCGCAACCTGGCCCAGCGCAGCGCCGCTTCGGCCAAGGAGATCAAGGACTTGATTCAGGACTCGGTCGGCAAGGTCGAGAAGGGGACCGAGCTGGTGAACAAGTCGGGCTCGACGCTCGAGGAGATCGTCAACTCGGTCAAGAAGGTCACCGACATCGTCGGCGAAATCGCCGCCGCGTCGCGTGAGCAATCGACCGGCATCGAGCAGGTGAACGTCGCCGTGACGCAGCTTGATCAGGTGACACAGACCAACGCCGCTCAGACCGAAGAGCTGTCGGCCACGTCGGTGTCGCTGACGGATCAGGCTGAAACCCTGCAACGTGTCGTCGCTCAGTTCAACCTGACGAACGATTCGCACCATCAAGCGGTGAAGCCATCGCGTACCGGGGCATCCCGTATCAAGGCGGCCCACGTCGCTCCGAAGCCGTCGAAGCCCTCGGCACCCGCTCGGACCGCGAAGCCGAAGAAGTCGTCGAAGCCTGCCCCGACTCCGTCGTACGACGAAGAGCCGGTGCTGGTCGGCGCCGGCGCCGACGGCGGCTTCGAGGAGTTCTGATTGTTAAACGCTAACGCCAGCTAAAAGAAGCCAGGGGCGTCGGCCATAAGCCGTCGCCCCTGGCACGGCTGGTCCACTCACTATCTTGTCTGCTCCCTCCTTAGAAATACTCCTCAAGTGACTGCCAACATGTGCGGCCGCCCCACCAACTCTGCTATCGTCCCGACGGAAGAAGAGTTCGTCCCGCTCCGCGACCTGATCTACGATACCAGCGGTATCTACCTCTCCGACTCAAAGCGGACCCTTGTTGCGTCGCGTCTGGCGCGGCGGGTCCGTCAGCTCGGGCTCCCAAACCTCTGGGAGTACTACCAACACGTCAGGTACAGCGACCCCGATGGCGTCGAGCTGCAGCACCTGATCAACGCGATCTCTACCAACAAGACGCACTTCTTCCGCGAGCCGCACCACTTCGATTTCTTGATGCAGAAGATGCTGCCGGAAATCAGCGAGCGTGCGAATCGCGGCGGCAGGCGGCGGCTCAGGATCTGGTGCGGCGCCGCCTCGACGGGGCAGGAGCCGTACACGATCGCGATGTGCATCGCCCACCACTTCGGCAAGGCGCTGGCTTCTTGGGATGTCGAGGTGCTCTCAACCGACATCAACACCAAGGTGCTCGACGAGGCCCGGCACGGCGTCTACGAATCGACGCTGTTGAAGGAGATTCCGCTCGAGTACCACAAGTCCTATCTGCTGCGCGGGACCGGCGACTTCGCGGGTTGCTTTGCGGTTAAACCGTTCGTGCGAAAGCTGGTGCGTTTCGAGCGCTTCAACCTCACCGAAGACACCATGCCGACCGGCATCGACTTCGATGCTGTGTTCATCCGCAATGTGATGATCTACTTCGACGCCGAAACGCAAGCTAGGGTTTTACGAACCGTTTCTTCGGCGTGCAAAGTGGGAGGTTATGTCTTCCTGGGGCACGCCGAGAGTAACCACACATCCGCCAACACACGCTTCGTCCCGTTGGGCAACACCGTGTTCTGCAAAAAATAACGCCGCGACTCTGCGGGAGTGAATCGAAGTGCCACAGAAAACCAGAGTGCTCATCTGCGACGACTCGGCGCTGATGCGGCAGGTCCTCACCAAGCTGCTCGGCGAGGAGCCCGAGCTCGAGGTTGTCGGCGCCGCCTCCGACCCGGAGAAGGCGTGGCAGATGATCCAACGGCTCGCCCCCGACGTGATGACGCTTGACGTCGAGATGCCGAAGATGGACGGCGTCACCTTCCTCGAGAAACTAATGGCCCACCGCCCGATGCCTGTCGTGATGGTCTCGTCGCTCACCGAGCGCGGCGCCGACGTGACGATGCGCGCCCTCGAGGCGGGAGCGGTTGACTTCGTTTCGAAGCCGGCCATGGACGTCGCCGCTCGCACGGCGGTCCTTGGCCGCGAGATCCGCGAAAAGGTGAAGGCCGCCGCCACCGCACGCATCCGCGGCCGGCGTCCGGCAAGGCCGGCGGCGCCGCGTCCCCGACCGTCGGGCCTGGGGTTCTCGGCGACACACAAGGTGATCGCGATTGGCGCCTCGACCGGGGGCACCGAGGCGCTGATGGAGGTGCTCACCGACATGCCCGCCGACTCGCCGGGCATCGTCATCGTGCAACATATGCCAGTTGGTTTCACGGCGTCCTTCGCCGAGCGTCTCAACGGCGCTTGCGCGATCAACGTCCGCGAAGCCCGGAACGGCGACCGTGTCCAACAGGGCCGCGCGCTCTTGGCCCCGGGCGATCAGCACATGAAGCTCCAGCGGAGCGGCGCCACGATGTCCGTGACGCTCCACTCGACGCCGCCCGTTAACCGGTTCCGGCCCTCGGTCGACGTGCTGTTCCACTCCGTCGCCCAGCAGATGGGGAACAACGCCGTCGGCGTGATCCTTACCGGCATGGGTCGCGACGGCGCCAGCGGCTTGGTCGCCATGCGGAACGCCGGGGCGCACACCATCGCCCAGGACGAGGCCACGTGCGTCGTCTACGGCATGCCGCGGGCCGCGTTCGAGGCAGGCGGCGCCGAGCGCGTGCTCCCGCTCGACAAGATATCTCGCGGCATCCTCCATGCCCTGCCGGGTTCACGGCCCACCGCGTTGACACGTTAACCCGACAAGACCTCCGGTCACTCCCCCCATTAAACCCAGAGACACACCATGTCTACCACGGCCCCGGTTGACGCCGAGCTCGCGACCAAGGTGATGAACCCGGTCCTGTCCGCGGTTGCCGACACCTTCCAAACCATGATCGGCGTAAACCCGGTCCGCACGTCGCTCACGCTCCGCGAGCCCAACACCCCGCTCTACGAGCTGTCGGCGGTGATCGGCATCTCGGGCGTCGTGAAGGGGTCGATCGTGCTCAGCTTCGCCGAATCAACGGCGATCAAAGCAGTCGGGACGATCCTCGGCATGGACATCAACAAGGTCGACGAGATGGTCGTCGATGGCGTCGGCGAGCTGGCCAACATGGTTGGCGGTAGCGCCAAGGACCGCCTCAAAATGGGCCTGAACCTGGGTCTGCCTAACGTGATCCGCGGGCGAGAGTACTCGGTTGAGTTTCCAGTGCTCTCGACACCGATGCGGGTTGGCTACGACTCGGAGATCGGCCCGTTTTTGATCGAGTTTGGCTTCGTTAAGCCGTCGTTTTGATCTGCTACCAATCCTGCCCTCGCAAATTCACTCCACTCTTGTGATCTGAGACCCGGCCATGAAAGTTTTAATTGTTGACGACTCGGCGATGCTCCGTACCGTGGTAAAGAAGGCGGTCGCCTCGATGGGTGTCGAGAACATCGTCGAGGCCGGCGACGGCGTCGAAGCGCTGAAGGCTCTGGAAGCCGGCGACGTCGATCTGATCTTCAGCGACTGGAACATGCCGAATATGAGCGGCCTGGAGTTCCTCAAGGAGACCCGAGCTAAGCACGGCGCTGTCCCGTTTATCATGGCCACGACCGAAGGCTCGAAAGAGAAGGTCATGGAAGCGATCGCCAACGGCGTAAGCGACTACATGGTCAAGCCGTTCACGCAGGTGATGATCGTCGAAAAAGTCGGCAAATGGTGCCCTGCAGCGGTCTAGAGGAATACAACGTCGATCGCACGCCTCCATGACGAGCCAACCATAACGATGCGACATCGTCGCTCAGAGTCAT